GCTGAGGCTGTGACTGCGACTGCCGTTGCCGCTGCGACTGTCATCGCGAATGCTACTACGACTGCGAGAACAGCAGAATTCGACAACTGGATTTTCATCTGAATCTTAAGGGGAATGCTTTCAGATATGCTTCTACACATCGCTGTTAGGTTGCTTTGCCGGGATAATCTTTTGGTTTGGAAGGATTTTGGCCTTTTCGGGGCCTCCTGGGGGGGCTCTTTGGTCACTTGGATCTGTCTTGGGAGGTCATCTTGGGCTCCCCCAGGCGCTCTTGGGATATTTTGAGTCATCTTGGAAGTCATCTTGGGCTCTCCCGGGCGCTCTTGGAGTCACCTGAAGCAGGGCCCCCCTAGAGGCCTAAATGTGGCCAAAACCTTAGTAACACCAGTGATTTTGGCAGTCTCGCCGAAGCTTGTTGGAGCGTCTTGGATGCTTTTGGCGGGCCTCGTGGGGCCTCTTGGGGGTCTCTTGGGGGCCTCTTGGGGGCATCCTGGGGGCCTCTTGGGGGCTTCTTGGGGCCACATGGGGCCATGTTGGGGCCACCTCGGGGCCTCTTGGGGCCTCCTGGGCGCCTGTTGGGGTCATCTTGGATGAGATCGATCACAGGAGGGGGGGGGCTCAATTTGCGCCCCGCCCCCCTTTCAGGAGGGCTAACTGGGGCCACAACCTTAGTGCAACCAATTATTTCGGCTTCCTCGCCGAGGCCGTTCTGGACGCTCCAACGCGTCGGGGAACCCCCCGTCGACGTCCAGGGGAGGGGGTCGGGGGAGGAGTAAACCCTTCCCCGAAGGGGGTATTGGAGGGATCAACGAGGAAGCGCTCTAGACCACTACGCCCAAAGGGCTGGTGGGATTAACCATACTTTGCGCCCGAATTCGTCCAGCTCAGGTTCCCATCGGAGCTCCACGATGTACTTGCTAGAGCGGGCAGTCTGTCCCTAATACGTGTGCTGGAAGAGTCACACGACATTGCAGGGTTTCGAAAGCTGCTAAGCAAGTCTTTCGCCGAGCTTCCAGAAACTCGTTTGCTGCACTGCAACCCGAGTTTGGGACTTCACAAGTGGGGTTGTTCTGGGGAAGACGCACGGCCGCGGGGTGAGGCGCATTCGCTCTGCCATACTTGCCTTGAATTCTCCAGCGCCCAAATGGAAGTCACCCTTTCGAGTGTTTTTTTTGTGCCCTTGCGTTTAGTGTATACGCGTCGTCTTGGCATTTGCGCCTGGCCCCGCGTTTTTCGCAAACATGTTTTTGGAATCTAATGATGAGAGCGTGGGTGGTGTACGGACGCGATCACCATCAGAACTCACAACGTGGGCTCTTTAGTTGGTGGTGATTCCATGGCGCGCTCCCAACGTCCTCCTATAGCTTTCTTCTCCGCAGAAAGCATATCTGCACACCGCTTTGTCTGGTCAGCGCCATTCTGGGCCGGCCAGGAGGGCGTGTGCACCGTGCCAGTTCCCAGGATAGCCCTGGGCGGGCATGGTGCTGGTGGTGGTGTATGGGTAGGTGTCTTTTGCTTATTCAGTCCGCGTGTTTCCGAGCGGGTTCTTGTGCCAGCCCCGCGCGCGCGCGCGGCGGCGCCCGCCTGGCGCAACGCCGCTGGCTTCGCCCCGGCGCTGCGGCCTGCTTGACCTGGAGGCTGGAAACCTCACGAGTTTTTGCGATCGGATAAGAAGTCATGAACTCATGATCGCTGGGACTCAGCGGAGGTATGCCCCACCTTTCCACGTGCAGCTACTCCGCAACGTTCTCGGTTGGTTCGTCTGCCACTGCCTCGGATCCGTTGTCAATGGGTGCCGCGATTCGCTTCGAGGGGTTCGCTCATGTGCAAAGATGGACACACGGGTTGCGCGGGCCTGTGCCGATGGTTTCCCGTTTCGTTGTCAGCGCGCTTCGATCCTGCCCAACACAGATATGGACACATGGGTTGCGCGGGCCTGTCCCGACCCCAAATATCCCCGGGATGCCCGAAGTCCCGCTTTGCGTCGCAACTCCGAGCACTCCTCGCGCAACCTGTCCAGTGGCCTTCGGCCAATCCCGCCACGGCGGCCACGTGGATGCCTGTTTGGGGACTCCTGGGGGTGCCTCACGGGGGCATTTTGGAAGGGGTCGCGGGACCACTTCGTGTTCCAAGCCAACACGGCCTCAGTCGAAGATTTTCGGCTTCGTGAGAAGTCGCGCGGGAATTCTCGAGGGCGCCCAGCCGCGCCTGGTCCACGGGGGCCTGTTCTGCTAGAGAGTATGCTTTCAATGCTTGGCGCAGAGAACTCGAAGGGTTCTGAGGACACTTCATCCAGTGCCTACTGTCGGGTGTCGGGCGGGACTAGGTCCGGGATACATCGTTCCAGAGCGTTCCAGAGCGCTCTCAGAGCGTTCTGGAACGCTCTGGGAAGGCCGTGTCGCCAGATACATCCTGCAGAGCCGCCAGATCTCAGAACCCTGTGCGATTTTGTCTGCCCTGGGGAACGCAGCTCCCGATCTCACGCGCTTCCCGTTCATGTTTGCAAGTTGCAGTCGTGCAGATATGGTTGCCGAGTTTCCCCGAATGCCACCTCTCGATCCGGAGCCTGGTGCCGATATCAAAAACGAAGCATGCAGAAACAGTGAGATCAAGGGGACGCTGTCCGCTTCATAGTGCACACTGCCCGTTCGAATGCATGCCTGATGCTGCCTGTGGCGTCGGACAATCTTGAATGGGTCTGAGCCTACGTCGGTTCCTTGCTCACTTTGATTATGTTTGTCTTAGCACCCCTCCACAATTCAGCAGGGTGAGGCACGGCTGACCTTCCGCTCCGAGTGTCGACAAAGAGCAGTTTCACAAACATGAACTTTTGGTGGGCTGCGCGGATTTCTTGGATCTGCACTGGACCCCTCTCCCTGGCGCGAGGAGAGCGCTAGGGGGCCCAGCGCCGATCCAAGAAATCCGCGCGGAACGCCGCAAGGTCATGGACAGTTTGCTCTTCTCCTAGTGTCGCTGTCATCTTTCCTGCCCTCCCTCGCGTTTCTCCATCTCCTCCACGATCCTCCGCCCCGTCGTGCAACACGCGTCCTGTCACGCTCGCTCCCCTCTCCCTTTCCCGGCCTCCCGATCAGGTGTTGTCAGACGTGACCCTGACCCGAGGTGCCGCCACGATGTCCCAGGAGGCCCCCCCCACGGCCTCCAGGGCACCGCTCAGAAGGCCCAGAGGGCCCTGGGTCGGGCGAAGAGAACTATGCACATGCACCGATCCTGGCAAGGCCCATCCTTGACCCAGGATCGGTGCATATGCCTTCCTGGCCAAGGTAGGAGGGCGTATGCACCGATCCTGGGCTCAGGATGGGCCTGGCCAGAATCGGTGTATGTGCATAGTTCTTTTTCCTCTACCGGGGGGCTCCGAAGTGGAGCGAGAAGCGCAAGGATCTTGGTTTGGCTCAGGGCCTCCAGGGCACCCCCCACGGCCTCCAGGGCACCACTCAGAAGGCCCAGAGGGCCCCGGGGGGCTCCGAAGTGGAGCGAAAAGCGCAAGGATCTTGGCTTGGCTCACGGCGAGAGCACGCCATGGATCCCCCCTACCCTGGGCGCGCCGCCCTGGAGGGGTCACCAGCGGGCGCCGGCCACGGCAGGATCCCGCCGCTGCGAGCGCGGCTGGCGGTCTCCAGGCGCGGGCGGCCCGGGCCACCCCTCACGCCCGGTGTCGGGCGTTGCTGGAGCTGGCTGGCCCTTCACCGAGCGCGTGCCATGACTCGCAGAGTGCCTACTCGCAAACGCCCCAGAAAAAAATATGTCCTCCTCGATGTCATGTATCGCAGATCCCCCGCGGCTATCCAGGCCATTTTTGCGAGTAGTGACTCTGCGAGTGGCGGGACGCGCTTGCCTAGCCCTGGCGCTTCGTCGGAGCGAAAAGCTGGGGGCGCCTTTAGCCAGGGACACCTTTAGCAATTCCCAGCCCGATCAACAGCTCGCCTGCTCGTGGCACGGCTCTCTTGGGCTCCGTTGGAGGTGCAGTGTGGCGGACCGGGCAGGTGCCACCGGTCGTTCTCGGGAGGAGGAGGGGAGTAGTTTGGGGCGGGGCGGGGAGGGGAGGAGAGAGGAGGGGAGCGGAATGGAGGAGGAGGAGGAGGAGGAGGAGGAGGAGGAGGAGGAGGAGGAGGAGGAGGGGGAGGAGGAGGAGGAGGAGGAGGAGGGAGGAGGGAGGAGATGGAGGAGGCGTGATGGAGGGAGGGAGGAAGAGGGAGGAGGGTCAGGAGGGAGGGAGGGATAATGAGCAGGCATGAAAGGAGGAAAGGAGGGGGGATGAAGTGGGGAGGAGAGGAGAAGGAGGAAGAGGAGGGTTGGTGAAAGGGATGATGCTGATGATGATGATGGTGCTGACGATGATGATGTGAGGCTGAGGATGAGGATGAGGATGAGGATGCGGATGATGATGATGATGATGATGATGATGATGATGATGATGATGATGATGATGATGATGATGATGATGATGAGGATGAGGATGATGATTATGATGAGGATGAGGATGAGGACGAGGATGAGGATGAGGATGAGGATGAGGATGAGATGATGATGAGGATGATGATGATTATGCCTGATGATGATGAGAATGTGCTGCTGATGTTGAGATGTTGTTGGTGATGATGATGGTTGTTGATGATGATGATGATGGTGGTAATGATTATGTTGATATGATGATGATGATGGAGATGATGAGGATGCTGATGATTAATGCTGATGTTGATGCGGGGTTGATGGTGATGATTGATGACGTTGACGTTGGATGATGATGGTGATGGTGATGGTGATGTTGATGATGATGATTATGTTGATGCTGTTGATGATGATGGGTTATGGTGATGAGGATGATGATGATGATGCTGATGATGATGATTGATGCTGATGATGATGATGATGATGATGATGATGATGATGATGATGTGATGAATGATGATGATGATGATGATGATGATGATGATGATGATGATGATTCTGATGATGCTGATGCTGTATGATGATGCGCTGATGATGCTGTGATGATGTGTGATGATGATGATCATGATGTGATGCTGATGCTGATGCTGATGCTGATGCTGATGATGCTGATAGATGATGATGATGCTGATGGATGATGATGATGATGATGTGATGATGATGATGATGATGCTGATGATGATGATGATGATGATGATGATGATGATGATTGCTGCTGGCCTACTGATGCATGAGGATGATGATGAAGAGGATTGATGATGATGATGATGATGATGATGATGATGATGATGATGCTGATGATGATTGATGATGATGTTGATTGAGGAGGAGAGGAGGAGGAGGAGGAGGAGGAGGAGGAGGAGGAGGAGGAGGAGGAGGAGGGAGGAACTGGGGAGCTGGAAACGGAGGGCGGGGAGGTGCCGAGCCACCGGCCGCTGCAGGGGCCCGACGAGGGGAGAGAGGCCGGGGGGTGGCCCGCGGAAGGCACCGCCCGCCCGGCGCTGCCAGATGGCCACGCCGCGTGCCGCGAGGTGAGCAGGACTTCAGCCGCGCCCGCGGGGGGCGGGGGGCGGCGGAGGGGGGGGGGGGTCGGCAGGGGCGCCGTTTTGGGAGGGTGCGCTCAGGGACGGAGGTTTGCGGAGGCCTTCTGAAGTTTGGTTATTTTTTCGGGCGAGGGGCTGTTGCCATCGGCTGCGCCCCGTCGAGGGCGGTCCAGGGGTGCCCGAGTCGTCCCGAGCGGCCGCCAGAGAGCCGAGGCATGACCCGAAAGCTGCAGGGCAACGACGCAGGAGTTGGGTGTCTAGAGAGTTTTTCCTCGTCTTTGGGCCCTTGAGGTTATATCGCGTTGCCGACACCACCAGATTCCTTTCGTGACTCTGGTCAGAGGCCGCCCCTGGAGAGGTCCCTTGGCCGCGGTCTGAGGGGAGGAGGATCGCCGTGAAGGAAGTGGGCTCCGAGGGAAGAGAACAGAGTCGTGTTGTTACGCGCGCACTGAGCGCCTGGTTCGCCCGCCTCCTCGAGGGGGGGGGCGAGCGGTCTGGGAGCTCGGTGCAGAGGCGGTCCTTCTGCCACTCCTCGGCGCACCCTTTTCATCTCGTCCTCACTCCGCCCTCCCTCCCCGCTACTCCTGTCTGCAGGGCCTTCGCTGTGTGTCTGCGCGCTGCGCACCGTTCGCTCAGGTCCTCCGCCAGGCCAGCGCTAGCACATGCCGCAAGTGCAACCACCCGTGGCCCACCGTGCGTAGAATAGCCCAATGCAGGGCTGCCACGTCGCTCCTCGGTGCTTGGTGATCTTAGGCGCAGGGCGCTGAAGAAGGAAGCCGTGCCTCTTGGCTGAGTTGAGATCGGAGCCGACCGTGGGCGAAAGACATCTTATCCGTATCCGCGGCCTCGCGGCCCGGGCCCCTGGGGCGCGATCCCGCAGATACGGGCGCTTTTTCGCGGATGCCTCGCGCGGAGCGTGTCCGTGCGACCGCGTATCCGCGGGATCGCGCCCCGAGATCCAGACTGCGATGGCGCGGATACGGATATGTCCGCCGCTCGTGTTAAGTCGGGCCTGTCCCTCAAAAATAGTCAAACATAGTTTCGGGACGATTTTTTTCCCAATCAGAGCTTGCCTCTGTAGGGGTCCTAGCGGATTAAAGGGTTAGGTGAGGTTCGTCGCCGATTTCGGTGGCCAGGCCCGGGTGCCCGGGTGCCCGGGTGCCCGGGTGCCCGGCGGTGCCCGGGTGCCCGGGTGTCCGGTGAGGTTCGTCGCCGATTTCGATGGCCGGGCCCAGGTGCACGGGTGCCTGGGTGCCCGGGGGTGCCCGGGTGCCCGGGGGGTGCCCCGGACCGGGTGCCGGGGTGCCTGGGGGTGCCCGGGTGCCCGGGTGCCCGGGGGTGCCGGAGGTGCCCGGGGGTGCCCAGAGGTGCCCAGGAGTGCATGGGTGCCCGGGTGCCTGGGTGCTTTATCGCCTTGTAGCCCTGTAGCCCTATGGCCTTACTAGCCCTATAGCCCAATAGCCCAATAGCCCTATAGCCCTATAGCCCTATAGCCCTGTAGCCCTATAGGCCTACTAGCCCTAGAGCCCAATAGCCCTATAGCCCCCAGCCCAATCGCCCTAGAGCCCTATAGCCCCATGGCCCTTACAGCCCTATAGCCCTAATTATAGCCTTAGAGCCTTATAGGCCTATTGCCCTACAGCCCTACAGCCTTATAGCCCGATAGCTCTATATATGCCTATAGCCCTATAACCGTATAGCCCTATAGACCTATAGCTCTATGGTCTTATAGCCCTATAGCCCCAGAGCCCTATAGCCCTCACGAGATTACGATTGGGTTTATCTCCTGTATCATTTTAGTATTTTCGTGACTACTTTTTGTCTCGTCCAGAATCCCCCTGTAGGGGGACATGCCCGACCTAACGCTCGTGGGCCGGGACCAGGACCAGGGTCGATGGGTTGCAGCAGTGGGCGCACTACTCGTGCTGGCTGCTGCGCAGCCCGCTGCCACGGCCGCCTCCTGCCCTCCGCGGCGTCGGCCTCGCCGCCT